ACCCCCGTCCCTTCCACCCTCGACAGCTTTCTCTCTTTCTAACCTGTTAGTCGCAACTAAAAGCTAGGGATGATGGACCAGCTCTCCCCCCCCCACAGGCCCTCCCTAGAGCAGTGATGGATGAGATGGCCGCCATGGCAGCAGCTAATGGGTCTTACCACATTATGCTTCTTTCTTCATGATTGTGTGATTCTGTCATTCATCACCCAGCGGCTCCTTCAAAGGCCCCTCGCGTTCAGAACTGTATCCAGGTATTCGTGGTCCCCACAGGCAGAATCTTACTAAACAAAATGCTTCTCCTCTTGCACCTTCTGCAGGTTGCTGGGGGGGGGGGGGGGGGATCGGTTGCAGTGACATCCGGTGCAGATACACCTGATCCCGAAAGGATGAACCCTACCGACCAAAATCAATAATTGAAACGGCACGGCCTGATTCTGCTCCGTGGAGCCTTTTCCCACTTTCTAAAGGCGTGAAAGTGGCTCCCCGTCAGGGCCCATTAGCTATTGCCCTACGAAAACCTTAACGGCAACAGGGAGAGCGACGCCACGTGCACTTCACCGGGCCTCCGTGTCCTCCATGCGAGATATGAGAGACGGAGTTTAGCATCAAACGCGGGTATTAAAAGGCTTCTGCGGGTGCAGGAACCAGCTGCTCTCCCGTTAGGAGTTGTGTGCATATCGGACAGTAAAGCAGTCGAAGCCGTTCGGCAACACGTTTTGGAGGAGTTGTTTACAGCCAGAGACGGTCAATGGGAGAATAAAGCAAATCTACAACTTGTATAAGCTAATCCATCTATTTTCTTTCCGCCCTGTTCCAGGGCGCCTAAGCCCCAAACTGAAAGGCTCGGCTCTAACAACTAAGCCGTCATGCTGCTCAAAAGGAAATTATCTGTTTCTTTTATTTTCTCTGTTTTTCTTGTCCGTGTATTGGACCCTTAAAATCGAGGAAATGAAAAAGTGTTTCTGTCCTCGGCTGAGCCTGTTCATCATCAAAAGCTCAATAAAAGCACTTTGGTTACTGCGAGCGCGGCGCGCTCGGGAGGATCGACTGAATCGAAACGACAAAACGACACAAGGAAATGTGTTCGGGCCGACCGAGAGCCACTGGCGTACTTTTAGTTTAAGCGCCGCTGGGTCGTCTCTCGCTCCTCATATTACCCCGTCCTCCCCCCCCCCCCCCGGGGCGGGCCTCGGCTCAACTGAAGGCTTCTGGAGATTAGAGCGCCAGAGGAGCTAAAGGCTTTGGGTGTTGTCCAAAAAAAACACCTGCCCGATGTCCTCTGATCGAGAAAATCAGGTGATATCGTGCTGAGCTTAATACATCCGGCGTTCCCCTCTGATGCTCGTTCATCAGGGTGATATTTCTACTATCGCCAGATAGTCCTACTTTACTTTGATTACCACCTACTTTCTCTGAGGCGTAACGTGGTGGTGTACCGTCTATTTCCTGTTGTTTATTTCCTCGCCGCTCTTTTCCATCTATTTCCTGTGTGTGATGAACGAATAATCTCCATCGGCTGCCCTGTTGGGGAGGGGGGCTAACCGGTGATACTCTAGACAGAACAAGTGACACGTAATTCCTTTCCTCGCTAAGCTTTTGCCATCAGCAAAGCAGAATCGAACCTTTTTGGGCCTCAATCGCAGCCGCTCGGCTTCGAGTGGCCCGCGCGGCGCCCGCGTGGCTTCCAAGTTGCCGCCACGAGACGCCGCGACCCACTCGAGCTCAGCTGGAAGATGGAGGCGCGCGCTCATAGATCTGTTACCGTTCATGTCGTATATATCTGCTGCCTGCATGTTGTTGGTTAATAAAAGCTAATTGTTCCTCTCGTCTTGCCCCTCCAGCTGAAGAGCACCATCCAACTCATCAACCTCCAGATCAGCCACGACGCCAAAGAGTAAGTCGCCCCGCGGAGTGTCCGCGTATTAGTGGGACGAAGCCGACGGGGACTTTGCAGTCACAAGCTGCTGCGACGCGGCCGGAACGACGGCGGCCTGTGCGGCTTTTAGAGGTCGATGGGAGGCAGAAAGTAGAGCTTCCCTGCGGATAATTAGCTTACATTTATTAGACCGAACTTTCCAGCTGCACAAAAGCTCTTTCTCCGCCGGCCGTTTCCCCACTAATTGCCCACTCAAACCCCCGACGCAGCTTTGCATTTGTCACAAAGGCCATTAGAGGTGTTTGGGAAGCCTTTGAAAGCAATGTTTTACACTTCCAGTTCGGGAGTCAAAATGGCTCTTTGAGAAGCCCGTTCAGCTTTTTATGGATGTTCTTATAATAAAAATGATGATAGACGGGTGTAAAATGACAGACGGATGATCAAAGAATATTCAATGTGCCTTTAATGTATTCCCATTAATTAACTCCGCAGCGACTCACTGAGTGGTGGTCCTCTTCAACAGGCGAGGATCGACCTCATATGTGGCGTTCGTGGAATGAGTGCTGGTGGGGTGGGGTGGGAGGGGGTTAGCGAAGGACGGAGGCGAGAGACGGAGACAGATAGTCGAGGACGGACAAAGACACAATCTGACATCTAGCGGATTCGGCAGTGTGCTGTAATTAAGGACCCTAATAAAAAGAAATTTTAAAAAAAGAAGCAGCAGCAGCTCGTCCCGCGTCTGCATCTGAGGCTTTCAGCCTCTGAACTGCGGTAGCAGAGGAAAAAGAAGCGGCAGACATTAAATGCTTAAGCCCTCCGCCAACGTTCATCATCTCCGGTGAGCCGCAGTGAACCGCCGGCTCCTCGGGGGGGCAGCGGGCTACACTTCGGAGAGCCGTGATTGCGAACCCTCAGAGCCTTGGAGGGGGGGGCGTGTTTGTTTTTGTGTGTACATGTAGCTGTGAGACAAAGGGAAGGGGGGCCGGGGTGGGGGGGTCTTGTCTAAAGACAGCTGTGCGTTTTTGCAAAATGAATCTTTTTGTTCAGCTGAAGAGGGGACGTGATAAAAGTCCAACATTTCCCAGCCGACAATAAAAGCGGATGGGAGGTAAACAAGGCTGACGGACAGGCGTGTGTGTGTGTGTCTGTGCGTGTGCATGTGTGAGCTTTGGGTTCGGCCCGTTCTCGCTCCGCTCGCCTCCATTCCCATTAGAGCGTTGTGGTCCGTGGAGGCCGAGGGGATTTGAATGGCTCGGGTTCATGGCGACGGGAACCGGAGACGCCGATTGGCTGCAGGCTGTTTCTCTTTCTTTCGTGTCATCGTGAGCAGCAGCAGCAGCAGCGCCGCATCCACGGTGACACTGTGCCGTTGCTCCCGTATCTCGTATCGTGGTTTAGCTCGCAGGGGTCACGTAGCAGAAAATAGATATTAATGTTGAAATCCATTCGTGCACACAAATACCCTTTTCAGTCGTTTGTGATTATTAATGGTGCAGCTTAGCTTAGTGGTATTTACTACGACCGTTAGTATGACTTTCTACACAAGCTTCTCATTATTCTCCCATAACCCCCTTGTGTTTACATAGACATGTCACCCAAATGGAGCAGAATAAAAAGGAGGGTTTTCCCCGCTTTAATAAAAAAAACAATGTTTGACCTTTACTGAAAGCTACTACAAGAAACCTTTTCATCTCAAAGGTCCCTGTGGACTAAAGTGGTGTTCTACAGATTTCTTCGCTAACGTGCTTTGTCTGTTGCACAGGAGGCCGGACACGGTCAAACAGAAGAACGCCTTCCCGCCAAACTTCATTCACTCTCTGGACTCCACACACATGATGCTGACCGCGCTCCACTGCTACAGGTACCGCTCGGGCGCGCCGCACCTCCGGCTAGCAGCCATGCGTTTGATACGTGCAAAGTGCTTCTCACCAAATGGCCTCCCCTCCCATCTTCGATGTAATTATCACCCCGGATAAGCTAAGCATGCTACGCTAACGTGAGCTGGATTCACTCCTAAAAGGTGTGACAACTCCCTCATGATCCCAACACGGTTTCAGCAATTATCGTTGTGTATTGCACCTTTTTTTCATTATTTCAAAGTCTGCCTATTTGTAACGTCTGCTCTGCTTTGTCCCCCCCCGCCCTCCACCTCCGCCTCCCGTCTCAGCGCCGGGCTGACGTTCGTCTCAGTGCACGACTGCTTCTGGACGCACGCGCTCACCGTGGACACCATGAACAAGGTATCACAGCACAGGACGTGCGTTGTCATATGTTGTATGTTGCAGCATTGCTTGTGCCGAAGCAGAGGCAGCCGCTCAGTGGAGCCAGTTCAAAGTATTCTCCCAGTTTGAGTTGGTTGCAGAGTGCCGGCCGCCGGTGGCACCATCAGATAGAGCCTGAATAATTGACTGAGACGATCGGGTCCACAGGCTCCCCGACTGAGACACGGGAGCACAAAATGGATCACATGACTTTAAAGACCCATTTCTCTCGCTCTCATTCAATCACTAAGGAGGGAAAACCCAATGAAGAAGCTCCCTCAGAGTACGTTTTATTCTCTCTCATAGTGTCTGCATGTGTGCGCTCATTACGCAGGTAATTGAGGTCCTTGTTTTAAAGGCGACTGATCACATGACTGTCACAATGCTTATTCACGCCTGAATAGCATTAGACTGCAATTCTATGCACATTTTCAATTTGCACATAAATAAATAAATTTCCCCCTGATCTTCTTCAAGGGCTTAATGGCACCTGGCTGGAGAATTGGCACCACAAAGCGTTCATGTTGATTCAGCAAACACAACAACAAACCTGAAAACAAACTACACAAGGGTGGGATGTGAACACGGGAGTTGAGTTCTGAGACGTCTGATCCCCATAGAAAGCGTTTTTATGTTCAAAGTTTATTCCCCTGTGAATTTAAACTCTGAATACAAACACATTTTTCTCGTGTCGGTGCTTCTATGTCCATTAGTTTTGTGTCCTGCGTCATTTCTAAATGAGATCCACTCACAGGTCTTGAAGCGCTTGCATCTCGTGGTTCGTGGGTTTGAGTAAATCAAAGTACGCTCCTCTCTTCCTCCTCCTCCTCCCTCCTCTTCTTCCTCTCAGATCTGCCGGGAGCAGTTTGTCGCCCTGCATAGCCAGCCGATCCTTCGAGAGCTCTCCGACTTCCTGCTGCAGAAATACTGCACCGGGCTCCCGTGAGTTCACCCCGCCCGCCCCGCAGGAGCGCGTTTGATTTCTGGGACTGCATGTGATAGTTCGACGGCCCGTGTACTGACCCCGTCCTTAGCTGGATTAGTTTTGCTTTGTAGACCTTGTCGTGCATTAACTTTTCATGTTTGGAAGCTTTTCTTCATCTCTTGCTGTCACATAATAAAATGGACTGCCGTTATTCACAATTCCCAGCGGGTGAATCTCTCTGACTTTGACCTCTTCTGTTGTGCTGCTTTGAGGTTGACATTTGTAGTCAAGAGTGAAAGATTCTTTATTTGATGGATTATTGTTTTATTTGGTCCGAACGTTCTTGTTCCCCAGAGGATCAGCCTTTAACTTTAACTCACCTAATATTTTTCATTTGTGACTAAATACCTGCACAACTAATAACATTCGCCTCAGCTGTACTTTGTGTTCACCGCTGATCAGCAATCACGAGGCGGTGACCACGGTAACCACGGTAACCACCTGCTTAACCTCATCAGTGTGAGCGTTTATTTCATCTTTTGAGGATACCGGCTGTGTGTGTAAAGTTCTGCACAATGTCCCCGTCATGCAGGCACGACGTCGGGGGGTAAAATCTAAAGTGCACCACTCGCGTGTCTCACATGGACCGGAGTGTTGTGCCTCCTCTGGCTCTTCAGCCTCAGACGCACTAACCACGTGCCGATTCAGCGGCAGCGGCTCGCGTGTCGTAACCTGCGAAGGTTTAAATACTTGAATAAGAAGCGGCGTCGTCTTCGTCTCGCCACCTCCGACATGCTCCACTTTTAAACTCTTTTTTTTCTTCTCGTCCCTCTCCTTTGTTGCAGGGCTGAGGCCAAGAACAAGAAGTACCAGGAGTACCGCAGGCTGATGCTCCTCTTGGCCAAAGTGCCCCAGACAGGTGAGTCCGCACGCAGCCGGCCTCGGCATTGTTGGAGAGGGCCGACGTGCCGCATCCTGCCCTCCCCTAATTGCACTGAAGGGGACTCGTACGTCCTGAAGCTCCGCTCCGAGGGTTACCAGGACGACGGGGGATGTCATTCAGTGGGGTTCTTGTTTCCGTCCCGGTTTATAACGGCTAGTTCTTGTCGCCTGTTGTTCGCATAGTCATCCCATAGCTCTTTGTGTCGGCCACACGAGAAAAGAAAAAAAACGATGATCAGCTTCTGCATCGCTGTGCGACGTGATCCAGAATGGAGGTAGAGAGGCGGCGTCTCTCTCTCCCCCTCGGGCAGGTGGACGGAGGCTTTGCCGTTACGTAACCAGCCGCTCAATCTCCGTCTGTACGCTCGCTGTCTGCTTGGCACCGACAGCTGGGTCGCATAAATTGATTACTGATAATTGTGTCCCTCCTCTGCATAATCAGCTTATGCGGCTGAGACCGGTCAGGTGGGCTCCGGATGAGCCACACGCAGCTGGATTCTGACCTCTGTGACCGTGCGGTACACGTTTGGTATCAATAAGTTCTGCAGCACATTATGTATGTGTGATGCTGTAAGATTCTTACACTGTAACTTCATAAAAATAGAAGATGGACGGTACGACCCGGCTGTATACGAATATTCAAGTGTTGTATTTGAGTTCACACTATATAAATGTTACTGCTGCTCCCCGTTAAACCCCAAACGGTTTATAAGTTTATAATCCATAGTTCCTACTCCTCTTCTGTCTTTTCCCTGGACAATATCTCAGAACAAACAACATCCTGAGCAGTTTGCTTAATTGCTCATTAACCCCGTTAAAGAAGAAACAAATAAAATGCAAATCACTGTGCAGATTAATTCTCTATCGGGATAAATCGACACGAGTGGGTTTTTTAAAATTATTCTAAACCGGGTTTGGCTCCATTTCGCTCCTTGTTTGTTTGTAAGTGCCTTCCCATCAGCCCCGGCTGTACCTGCTGTTTGTGCAAATTGAAACATATTAACAAGTAAACATTAAAACCTGCTCAACATCAGCATGTAAACGTTGTTACTCATGCTGACGTCGGCGTTCAGCGTGAAGCACCTTGCAGCCGCACAGAGCTGCTAAACATTACTTATGCACGATCGACCAGATCGGCACAGCGATCCTGTTGTAATTGCTGATGATTTACATTTTTTTTCGGGTTCCTGCTGTGCTGGCTGGTTCTGTGCCGTTCGGCTGAGTTCGCATTGCTGATAGTGTTTGGTGCCGTGAAGCTCCCGATCGAAGCGGCGCTTGGTGTAATTCACTCCCCTCTCGCCCCTCTAGGTGACTTCGACCTCCAGCGGGTGAAGGAATCCACTTACTTCTTCAGCTGAGAGCCTCGCGAGGTCCGAGCCGGCGGAGGGAAATGAGCGGAATTGACACAGAGCAGCGGGGGGGAAGGACGCGGGTGGCTTTCTCCCCCCGCCCCCATGACATCGGGACATTGATCCGGCCGCGCCCCGCCCTGCCTCCCGGCCCGGGGGGCCGCGGCTGGAGCAACGCACTGTGAACTCGCCTGATTAGCGCACTAGTGTGCTGATGGGAGGCAGGATGAGATGCTCATCCAGGCGGAGTGATGAGCGAATCAGCACCGGATGGGAATGTTAAGACCCTCAATCAGTGGAAAGCAGCTCTTATAATGGCCGCTTAGGCGATATTCAGGGATACTTGTGTGTGTTTGTGTCTGTAGATGATCCATACGGACTTCATCACTCAGCACTTCTGCTGCTCAATAACCCTTTCACCTGCAAGCTGTACTTGTAAGTGATTGGTGGTGTGTGTGTGTGTGTGTGTGTGTTTCATGCTGTGAGGACCGCCGCAGAGCACCGACTCGCATCGGCGACCGCATCGCTCGCCGGATGACGGGATGCTCTCTGACACGATATTTGGACATGGTTCCGGACTCGACGCCGGTGGACACGGGACTCTCAGAGAAAAGGTCAAGTCGGGGAGATCTTTGACCGCGTCCCGTCCTCAGACTTACGAAGCGCCTGACCGTCGCCCTCAAATAAAAAGTATCTCCTTGATTGATTCAGCTGTATCCTGAATGTGCTTGAAGGGGATTATTATTTCGTTATACCATTTTGGTGCCGTTGTGTGCGGTGAGATGAAGGCGTCCTTTTAGACGCACCTCAAAGGGTTTGCGGGCTTCACTAATCATCTCGAATCTCATTTTTTTTTCTTTCTGTTCTGGTGCTGCAACTGGGAGTAAAAATAGCAGAAGTGCTATCTGATCATCGCTGGAAACGTTACAGCAGTTGATGTTCAAAGGCAGACGCAGACTGAGCCAAACGAGGCCGGTAATGAAATGGAAATAATCCGGGGTGATTATTAGGCTGAATCAGATGATCTGACAGGTGAAACACACATGGAGGTGCTCGTCATATATTTAACTAGTTTGGTAGAAGAGGAGAAGGAATCACTTGACTTTTACAGGGAATTCTTCTCTAACCTGTGTTCAAATTGGGCAAATTCACTGACACAGTGTCCAGTTTACAGACATTTCAAACAAAGCCGAAAAAAACCCACTTTGTTTGGATACTTGAACAGTTTGGGAAACCTTTTGAGTGTTAAGTATTGTGTAATATTGAAATGAAGCTAATAGTAGAGGCTTATTTTAGCACGCCAGAGGGAAATATCTAACGTTAGCTTGCTAACTGTTTCAACTTAATCTCAATAGTTTCTCTATTGTTGGTAGTTTCTAGTAGTTAATACTTTCCACTGTTCTCCACTTCTTCGAATTTTTGGAATTTTGTTCATAAAAACAATATTTCAGAGGGAAAACTTAAGTTTGTCTGAGCTAATGAGCTTGCTAGCGGCCATTTAGCATAGCTCGGTTGCTACGGGGACCAGTGAATTTCACAGATTATTCAAAAGACTAAAAATATGTTTAAACCACCAGTTCTTCTAAGTGTCTGCAAAGCTGTTTTTTTTTGTGGAGCAGTAACGTGGCTCTGATGGTTCCTCTATTTTGGACTGAAGCTGAACACTTTGCTTCTATCTAACAAAATATGGTTCGTTGAACTTAAAGAGGAAAAGTCTCGTTATTATTTTTGCCTCCAGTTCCTCTCACGTTGGCCACCCATCCGCTAAATGTGTCAGGGAGCACTCAAAAACAATTGCTGCCTGTTGTTTTTGAGTGGAAACTACCGTTGGCTTTGGCCAAAGGCGTAAACGGGATACTGAAGCTCGATGGGCCGGTCCCGGGTTCACATCAAAAAGCTTGTTCTGACGGCCACGATCCGAGAAAGTGGGCCTTGAGTCAAGCTTCTGGTTTTATTGCTGTTGCCTTTACAGAATGTCTTTGTGTTCCTGTTTCTCTTCCTGCCAACAGCCTACTAGATTACATGGAATTGCGTGATTGTGATTGTAAGTGCCCCCTCTTATCTGGGTTGCCATTGAGAGGTGGGGGGGGCGAGTTATTTCTTCCAGC